TACTATTCGGTGGTTACTTATTGAGCAAGTAATATTAGTGTGAGTGTTATTCGAAGGCGTCTGACACAGTATTGTTCAACGGCGTGACTATAGTTGTATCTGCGATTACAAAGTCTCTACTACAATGAGCATTACTAAAGTGACAAGAAGTATTCATTGACATCACAAAAGACCAGTAATTGCCCACCGCTGATATACATGATCATATGCATACATGAGTTCAAGGGAAGGTACAGTGTATTAATATGGGCTCTGAGAACTGTTTGTACATCCCTCTTATTTTGGAACCTGTGAATTTATGGAGCTGGACATGTGGACATTACCTGTACATTTAATTTTGAGTAAAACCAAAGCACATATTCTAAAGGTGCTGTAATTTCTATTTTCTGTCGGTTAATATATTATACAGGAAAAGAAAAGTTCACACACTCATTGAAAGAGAAAAAGACAAAACAATAAAACCTTTTTTTTTTTCTTTCATTCAACAACTTTCCAATTAAAGAGAAGACAAACTGTTGGATACAAATGGGATAAGTAGCTACATGCTGTGCTTCAGATAATTTTATTGGTTTTAAATGAATTTAATTTGCTTTCAATTCAGCAGGCTAACAATAAATTTTACAGGCACAAAACTAAAAGGGTACACAGAATGTCATGAGGAGAATTGCAAAAGTAATTAGCAATTTATTCACATAAGTCAGAGTATTAGTATAATACTCACTAGGTGCCATACTGTTGTGGTCTAGGCTGAGCCTGCAGAAATTTTATTTTCAATGATTGGGTAAATTAATAAAAATTAATTATTTTTAAATAAAAATAATGAATAGCATACACAATTAGGAACATGAAAGCCTTAAACAATCTTAACCTCAATAGTCATTCATTATATATCCTCCTTATTTTCATAATCTTCACTTCCTACCATCATCTCTAAGATATACATCATAAGCATTTTAAGAGTATCCCTCTATTGAGCCTTGTATTGGATGAACTTTAGTATATTTAAAAAAAAAAAGAAAAAGAAAAAAAGTCTATAATTTGATCTCCAAGAGTAAATCCTGGAAGTTCCTAAGCCATTAATTTGCCAACAATAAAGAAACATCACCTACATTAATTTGTACTTATCTTATTCTACTGGGTTGTCAGTAAATTCAAATGTGAGTCAAATTTGAAATACATGAATTATAATTAAGATTGATGCAATTCAACACTTCAGTTTTTTTTTGCAATTGAACACAACCATGTACGTGCCTAGAAGCACAGACAAATGCACATTTGCAGCAAATTTACCAGCATGCAAAACCTGCAGAACTAAAATGGCATTATTTCAGTGCATTTTTTTTTTAATTTACCCTTCCATAAAAGTATTGAATTATAATACTTCTAAAATTCATCAAAAGTTTCAATAAGATACATGTAAATCCAAAATGGTACAGCAAAGATAAAAGACAGGAAGAGTCAAACCAATTACTCTACACTGTGTCATAACTTTTGCTTTTTTGGACAATAAAAAAAAAAAAAAAAAAAAAATCGAAACATTTACTATCTTGACACACTCAGGCAGCCTACTTCATTCAAGAGATGGCAGGAGCATGTGCTTTCACACTGAGTTTCATAAATTTGCTGAAAGCTAGAATCAACTTCAGACTGAAATCTTTTTTAAAAACACTAATCAGAAAGCAAAGACATTTTATGTTAAAATATTTTTTTTGCAATGGTTAACAAGCCAGCCTTGCTCATAATTACTTTTACAATTATAATGAAAGGATCCTCTATTAATACTTCATTCAAACTATTTTCGTATGGATTTGTGCATAAATACTGACTCATAAACATTATATTAAACTTGATAATTTGCTTTTCATATTAATTAAAACTTATAAAAAGTTGTTTACAGAAAAGAAAGTATGGATTATGATCATTAAAAAGAAAAAAATAGATTAAAAATCTAACATTATTTAATTCCAATGCATTGTCTAATAAATCCTAGGCTCAGTTGACAAAATGTACACACATATTTCAGAACCTATACTTTTGTTTCTCTTCCATGATATTTTTGAACTTTGACACCATATTTAATTTCTCTTCTACCAATATATCAATATTAGCACATGCCTTTATAGCAGACTCTCATTTTAATAAATGACCTAAGTCTTAAAATCTTCTTGTTCTTATACTCATCACCTCTAAGAGTATTCTATTGACATTGCGAGGAGTGTTGTCCCAATACTACTGCTTTATATGCTGTGTCCCTTCAAGATGTAAATGATCATGGCTCTCTACAATTTCCTGTCCTTTATAGCTCTTAATAAATTTTATCTTTTTTTTATTGCTCTCAAACCTTGTTCTTCCATTCATTTACTCAAGCTCACTAAGAAGGTTATACATTGTTTCTCTGTCCCATTTGCCCTTCATTCTGTCCTTGTTAGTATCACATTTTCCAAGTCCTCTTTTCCTCATCATGTGCCCTAGAAATTTCAACTGCCTCTTCCTGATGTTGAGTATGAGTTTCCTTTTTGTTTCTATTTTCTTTAAAACTTTGTCATTGCTTACATGTTCAGTCCATGGTATCCATAGAATCCTTCAGCACATAAGTTTCATGAAAATTTTTCTGTTTCTTCATACTCTGCTTGGCTTTTGGAATGCATCTTTGGCTATCCAAATGTGCCTTTGGATTTCAGTGTCGCACTTTCCATCATCTGTTAAAACACTTTCCAGGTATTTAAATTTTTGTACTTGTTTAATTTTGGTACCTCCAATTTGTAATTTGCATTTTGGGCACATCCTTTTGCTAACAACCATGCATACAGTCTTCTTGTTTTCCTTCAATGCCTTCAACAGAAGTTTTTTGTTGTTTTATTTCCACGTCCTCTATCAACACTGTGTCATCTGCATATCTTATGTTGTTTAGATTATGGCCACCAATAATGAATCCTGGTAGTATTTCTAATTCTCTCAGAACTGTCTCACTGTATAAGTTGAATAAGTCCGGTGAGAAGACTCATCCTTGTCTTACACCCCTTTCTATTTCTGTATATCTGCTGAACTCATTTTCTATCTGCATGCAGGTGGTAGCACAGTTATAAATTATTTAGGTCTTTCTGAAGCACACTCTTTCATTTTGTTGCAATAGTTATGGATCTTGTTCCTTTGTGGGCCTTGCTTCTATTGCTATAGATATAAGGAGTGTAAAGATGGTCTCAACTTTTAAAACTATAGGCAAACGCTCATCTGACATAGTGTTTCCTTGTTTTTCTTTATTCACCTCATAGTTGTCAGTTTCTGGTTCATAATGAACAGGCTTTATTGTAAGAAAAAGTCCAGATGTTTCCAGAGTGGTTCTTCAGAAAAATCCTTCAAAGATTTTTTCTTTTTATTAATTTCCAGGGAATCTACCAAGAGTTTCTGATCCCCATCTGCTTTGTAAGCTGATATAATTATGGCTTCGACATATTCCTTTAAAGACAACTTGATGTAATTTGTTTATAGCATGTTGGTATTATTTTAATAATAAAGACAATATACTAGTTTAGACAAAGATTATTCGGTCGTAGATGAAGTTTTTTTTTTATTATTTATAATAATAAAATGAAATTCTCAGTTCAAATTCAAATTTTCTCAATCTGAAATTGAAAAAGGTATAGATCTCAGAGTCTTATAAAATAAATATGTAATGGTAATATTAGCCATTTCCCTATAAGGAAACATTTGGCATTCATCAACTCAGTAGCCATTACTGTTGTCGGTTGAAATTTACAAATTTTTTCTCTTAAATCAATTTTTCAGGAAAATAAGTTTCTCAAGTAGTTATTATCGCTCTTTCCGGTATTGAAGAGGGTTTTCCTTCCTAAGCTTTTATTTGAAGTAGTGTGAAATGTCGACATCTTGATTATGTCATTATTTTCTTGTAAGGTTATATGTGCTATCCATTTTAGTTGTTGCTGCTAATAAGGATGGTCTTTGGAAAGACCCACAAGATTCACTTGTTCAAAGTCATTTTTAACCATTGAGCTTAGGATAGTTTAGATATTTCTGAACAGGTTTGGCAGCATGCATAACACCCATATGAAAGTCTTGTATGATTAAATGATATTATTACAATCAACATTGTGTCTTTTCTGTTTCTTTCTCCCTATATAAATTCTGTCACATTAAAGCAAACAGCCACATACAAGTGAATCTTTCTCTGATTTGAATATCTGACTTGGATGTAAGCAGGCAGGTATCATATCCATTTTGCCAGTAACTTGCAAATGTTAAAAGGAGCCCACAGGTACTACTGATCATATAGGCTTAAGTGCTAATCCATAAATAAATAATCCAATATTTTTTTTTATGGGTACAATTGTAGTAAAGAGATAAAACCTAAAATAGTCATCAGTTTAAATACAATAAATATTACAATAAAAACAAATTAACTTACTTAATGAGAAACAATAAGAAAATCATTATGTAGCAGCTCAGTAAACATGAAAAAGATTTGTGTTTTTTTTTTGTCCCCTTTTTTTAAGAAGCAGCATTGATTCCTTAAAAAGAAAAACGATGATCTGATCCAGAGGGACTATTTTTTTTTTTAATGATCCATAATGGATTGCAATTTTAAATTTCTAATGCGCAGAGACAAAGGCTTATTTTTAGCACTGAAATTCACCCCATTCTCCTCCTCCTGCAATCAAAAAATGAGCCAAGTTTCAGTCACAGAATGAAATGGAAATAAATGAATAGGCATTTATTTCTGCACCACTTTGGATAAAGTTTCTTAACAGATGAACACCAAAATGGGCAATTAAATGCCAATATATTTATTATTCTTTACTTTGTCACCTGCTATACATATGATGTCTGATTGCTTTGAATGAATTGGATTTGGAGTGAGAGAGAAAAGAAACAAAAGGATGCCTGTCAATTATATAAAATATATAATATATATATATATATATATATATATATATATATATATATATATATATATATATATATATATATATACAGCTACTTAC